GCGAGTGAATTCGGGGGGGAGGGGGGCATCTTGTTTGGTGTGTCTATACTCCATGTTAGATGAAGGTAGTCAATGGAAGACGAGACATTTGACAGTAAACAACTATCTATTTACGGTGAAAAATTCACCTTTAGTGATATTAATTTAATAACATATGTGTTAGCACTACTACAAATAATATATTTCATAACGATGATTTCACCTTAGTATTTAAAAATCGAGGCCAAATACCTGGACGCACCCTCTTTTTATTTTAAAAATTATATACAATATATTTCGTCGGTTATTTGTAAAACAGATGGGTGAACATATTCAGTGCATACAAAATATAACAATAAATAAAAGCACAATAAGGACACGCAAAAAGCAAAATAACATCCACGTCAAAACTTTTAACGTCTAGCCTCTCCCCTCGTTGGCCTATGTTCAGATGGGTAAACATATTAAATCTAGTGTACACAAGATATAACATTAAATAAAAGCACAATAAAGACACGCAAAAAGCAAAATAGCATCCACGTCAAAACCCTTAACGTCTAGTCTCTCCCCTCATTGGCCTATGTTACTCCTTAAAAGTACCATCTTCAGCACATGTTGGAACAACCGCTATTTCTTTATCTATGAGAAAACATCAAATACATTTACACTTCAATTTCACAATATCTTATTCCTCACTTATATACCATCATTATGTATTTCATACATTCAAACATCACTTATTACATATACGCCACCATTAGGTATATCAATTTATTTTAATCCACGGAAAAAAAATAATCAAAATAATAACATCTTAAATACAATCAGAACATGTTCACAAATATAAATTATCACACGTTGGACATAAATTAAATCATCAAAATCTTAATAAAGTCTATAGTTTCTCTTTCAACCTCCCACTTCCATACTTGAATATTTACATAATTATCACTCAGGATACAACTACCACATTGAGTCCCAAATGAATGTTAAGAAATATGACTCTCGGTCATCTCACTTATTATATACTCATTATTCGAATGCACTCTCACCCCGTACCTTATTATAATACTTTCTCACGTGAATCCATATCTAGCAGCAAAGATGTTTCGTTCGTTCAAATCATCGCCTACTAATCAATCCAATTTGATTGTATATGATTAAATATAAAAAAATAATTAATATGAGAATGCACTCTAAAAATGTCAATTTTAAAATTTGGTGCAAACAAACATACCCTAGATCAGAGTTTAAATTGGTGGATAATATTGATAATATTTTTTACAATTGTTTTGTAGTTGATTCTACTCAAATCAAAGTTACAACAAAGAAGAACGAATTAAAATTGTGAGGTTCAATAGTGTTAGAAAACTGAATTTTTAGAGAGAAAATAGAATGAGTAATAATATATTCACTAACTCTATATTATATTAGAAAGGTCTTATTGAATTTTAGGATGAAACAAAAGAAGATATTTTGTAACACTATTTGAGATTGTGATCAATTTTTTCCATCCCGCCACAATTACTTCTCTCATATTTGTTTATTTTTCTTGCTCTGAAGTACCCTTTATTTTTTATTTATTTATTTTATTTTATATTTTAACAATGCATTTTTTATGAGTTTTGTCAACATGATATTTTTATTATTTTTGTTTTTTACACCTCACTTCCTTTCTAAATATAAGATTTATTAAAAGTAACCACACTTTTATTTAATTTGTTGTACTCATTTATAAATAAAATAATATGCTAAAAAATACTCACATTAAAATACTATGACTATAAATATATTTTTAACACTTTAAATTAATTATTAATATATATATATATATATATATATATATATATATATATATATATATATATATATATATATATATATATATATATATATATATATATATATATATATATATATATATATATATATATATATATATATATATATATATATATATATATATATATATATATATATATATATATATATATATATATATATATATATATATATATATATATATATATATATATATATATATATATATATATATATATATATATATATATATATATATATATATATATATATATATATATATATATATATATATATATATATAATTATCATTTTTGACAAATATACATAAGGAAAATTAATCACAATATAAATTATATAACAAAATTATAATTTTATAAAATAAATACTCAAATAAGATTATTTGGAGTTGATAAATGAAATTATGCACGTTTATTATTAAATCTAGTGCACACAAAATATAACAATATATTTCGTCAGTTATTTGTAAAATAGATGGGTAAACATATTTAGTGTACATGTTTTGAATCCCAACAACTTCAGTGTAGGTTTTTATCTCATTAAAGTGACGCATTCTTGAATATTTTATATTTAATTTAAAAGTACGCTACTTTTCACCTCCATTTTTTTATATATATAGCTTGTAGCATTCAATTTCATTTGTTTTAAAAACACAAGTAGAACCCTAACGAAGAGCCATAAACAACGAGAGTTATAAACACACGTCATCTTCAATACGAAGATGTTTTGTGTTTAGGGATCTCTTTTCTTCTTCAGAGATCCAAATCATTTTATTTTACTTCTTCTTCAGAGATCTAGTACGTCAAACATCACTACTAATATTTTTGTCATATTATTGTTGTTGATATCTGAAACCCTAGAGTTGTTGTTGTTGTTGATGTTGTTTTTATCGATGTTGTTGTTCTTGTTATTGAGACACTAAACCCTAGAGGTTGTTTATTGATGTTATTGATATTGTTGTTGTTTATTGACGTTGTTGTTCTTGATGTTGTGTTTGATGTTGTTGTTTTTGTTGTTGATATTAAGATTGAGATTATGCGTTTTGAGATTCTTTGTGCAACTCTCATCTTATTCAGTCTAGTTGAGTTTATTATATCTAATATCGATTGTTTGTTTCACTAACCACTCTTTAAACATATAACCTAGTAAATTGATTTTGAAAATAATCATATTTAAAATTATGTTGTATTTGAAACTTATCTTACACGGATTAATGATTTTCTAACATTTTGTAACTCATCATTCATCTTACATTGTTTTATAGTTAAAATCTCTCCAATACTTCTAGTTTTTGTTCAACTTTCTTTCATATTTGTTCATTTTTCAAAGCATCAAGTTTTATTCTTTCAAGAATGAATTAGTATAAAAGGAAATGTTGAATAAAGAACTTGAAACATTGGAGAAGTTTTAACCATTAAACAATGTGAGATGAATGATGGGTTGCAGAAAGCTTCAAAATCACTAATCAATGTAAGTTGAATTTCAAATCTAACACAATTGTTCATATAATTATTTTTCTAACTAATTTAGAGAAGTTAAATGTTCAAAATAGGGTTTAGTGAAATAAGCAATCCATATTAGATTTAATAAACTCAAACTTGTTTTATCCATTGGATTTATGAGATAACCGAGGTGAAAATGTGGTATATCCGTTGGTAAAATTACAAAACTGAAGGGACATGTGTTTTCTCCATTTCAGAATTCCAAAAAGGTATCCTTATGGATCAAACTCATGACTTTTTCACATATTCGTTAGTTTTTTTTTTAAAAACTGAGAGGTAAAGTGTGCATTTTTCATGACACCCTTCGTTACCTCGCCTCTGTAAACAAGGCTAAATGCATTTCGCGTTCGAGGTTAAATGTGTTTTTTTCTAGTAGTGTAGATTGTTATTGATATTTCATCTGAACCATTTTCAAGCATAAATCCACCAACATTTTCATGTCTCTCTAGCTGGGAATATGTCGAAGACTACTCTAAGGAACTTTCATGTGTCTGCTCCATTTTTCCACTCATGGGGGAATCAGGCGACCGAGTCGTTTCAAACTCCACTTAACCACATTGTTTCGGATAACATTTGTGGATAACATTTGTTTCACATCGTATGGTGAGCACCGTCAAACACGGCCCTTGGAGATGAAATCACGGTACTCTGGATGGTTGGCGTGTATGTATCGACTTATGTACCCACATTTATCTAAGCAAGTACTGTGGTAGTTTGGGTATTTGTAACGTATACTTAGGGACCCCATAGTTGATGCTCCTGCCACTTCCCTCCGCAAAGATGTTGATGTGGTATTTGCGAACTAGCATATGCATCTGATGCTAGAGAGTGTACGCAATGTGATGCCTCCTCGTCCATAGAGTCCATGGAGAGTGTACGCAATGTGATGCTAGAGAGTATACTTAGACTTAAATGCATATTTGATTATGATAAATTAGCGAACTTTTGAGTATAGCCCATGTAATTTTTTTTATTTGAGCTCATATATCTTATTTTTTGCATGTGTTTTAGTTCTAAAGCCAAAATCTACATAAAAATCTGAACGAAAATTCGCAGCGGATTTTATCTTTAAAAACTAAAAACCACACGCAAAAAGTAAAATATAAGAACTCAAAAAAAAAAAGAATTATAGAGATCAACCTCAAAAACTCGCTAACTACCAAATTATTAAAACCGTGATTTTATTACCAAATACGTAGGCATTCTAAGATCTAAACGTTACAAGACATTTTTGAATTTGTAGTGTGTAAGATATTACACGGATATAGTGACTATCCCCATAGTCAAAATAGAGTCAATATACTTAATCCTCCAACAAGGTTTCTTTTCTCCCTCTCTAACGGTCATTCCTACCTACTCTTGTGATTTTGCTTTTTTTTTTTTTGTGTTTTTGTTTTGCACTTTCCCAAAAAGAACGTTTTCAATGAACAAGCAAAGCACAATAAGGACACGCAAAAAGCAATGCATTTACACCAAAATTGCCTCTTCATCCAACCACACTTTTTCGCTTCTCCTACGAAATGTCGTTCTATAGAACACAAGAAACGTCTGAACACAAAAACTAACATAAAAAAAGTCCAAATTTTTATTCATCAGAACAGTAAAGTTCCAACGAGGGTTTTGCTTTATCACATTCAGTTTTCAAAAGGGTTGTTGAAAATCAAATAGATTTCGAGAATGGCTCAGTGGCAAGGTGGTTTGGATCAAGAGGGTATTGACTATATGTTCAAGGTTGTGATGATTGGTGACTCTGGTGTTGGAAAATCTCAGCTTCTGAATCGGTTTGTTAAAAATGATTTTCACATGAAATCTAAAGCTACAATTGGTGTTGAGTTTCTCACAAAGACAGTTCTCATGGATCACAAACTAGTCAAGGCTCAGATTTGGGATACTGCTGGTCAAGAAAGGTCCAATTTTTTCTTCTGCCCTATTTTTTTATCATCAATTGTGAATTATTTTATTGGATTTTCCTGTGTTTGCTAAAAAAATATTCCGTTTATCTAAGAAGTTAAGATCTGATCTCTTAGCTAGCGTAGTTTTTGTTACGTATTCAGACTAAAATCCGTAATTGATGAATTCCTCCTTAGCACCAGCACCGGCACTTCGGAAAAAAATATAGTGTAGGTGTCCGAAACCGACACGACACTTGTTTATTATTTTTTCAAATTATTACCAATGTGGACGTGTTATTGTCGGTGTCGAGTTTCCTGTATCCGTGCTTCATAGGTGAATTATAGTCTTTCAGCTACATTATTATATTGATAATGTTTGCAAGTTGAAGACTTCTTGGTTGTCTGTTGTTACTTTATGCTGAATTCTGATTCAAACTTGTCATAGATCCCACACATTTGTGGAGTTAGCAGCTTGGAGTCATTGGATTAAATTCCGATGGCTCGATTTCGAGTGAATTTGCTTGTTAATCTAATTTACCAAGGTTAGAATTAGAACAGAAGCAGACTCAAAATTGGAGCCATTTGATCAACAATTTCAAACGGGTGACTCTGCAAGTGCGTTGAATAATTTATAAGATAGCTAAGATCTTATAAGTTAAGATCTGATCTTTTAACCAGCATTGTATTTTAATATAATAAAATGAAAATGTTTGGAAGTTGATGACTTCTTGATTGTCTTCTTTACTTTATGGTTAACTTAGTCATAGCAGAGTCCAAAATGACTTTTGATGCAATATACATCGTATACATTCTATACAATATTTTATGGATGGATAAAATACATTTATATTCTTATATATATCTAACAGCATTTAATTAGGAGGCGCAGCACCATACAAGATAAGATGACTACTCCATTCATAGTGTGTTGGATATTGACAGGGACGAGTTTCTTGGGTTGTTCATTCTATGGAGTAACTTTTGCAGCAGCCCTACAATGATATTTCACCTCCAATAAATCAGAAGAAAAAAAAGGGAGAATCGATGGGTTTGAATGTTGGGAGGAAGAAGCCTAGCTTTAAAACCATCTATTCTCTCAATTTCTCTCAATTTCTCGCGCGCAAAATATCATTGTTGGACAGGCTGCAAATGTTACTCCAGAGGATGAATAGTTCAAAAAACTCATCACTCACTACATCATGATTGGAGTGGTCATTTTATGTGATCCTACTACCACTATTTATAAATATGTAGAGAGAAAAAGGATGTTGTCGGCTTCAGTTGAAGCTCCCACCTGTAATGTCTACGAGGTGGGGTGGTGTAATTAGCTGCTTTTGGAAAATTTGAAGCTCCCACCTCTATGGTCTCGTTTGCCAAATCAGTTAGGTTTAATTTTTTTGTATAATGGTTTCTTGATAAACTTTAATTCTAGTTGCTTTTGGAAAATTTGAAGGTGTTTGACTCTGCATAGACATGCAAGTCTGGCCGTTGGAGTCTTGATATTATAATAAAATTATTTGAATAAATATTTATGTATGTCCATCCATAAATGAATTTTAATTTTAGCAATCAACCGAATAGTCCGATGAATAGAAATTTAACTAGTTTTTCAATTGGCTTGATAATGTGTTTTTGAAGTTAGATGGTTGGTTTGGTTTCCACAAGTGTCCTTCAAATACATTATGTATGACCTATGAAACACAGACACAAACACTAAATACAACACCGTGGTTTAAAATTGTAGCTGATATCACGGTTACATTGTGAACCATTAAATTGCAACAAAATGTGGCAAAATACTGTGATTTGGTTGCAAGCACCTAAAAATCTTCTATACAGTCGACGCAGTTCCAGCTTCATAATGCAATTTAAAACCATGCATGACATTTACATTGATATGTTGATCCCAGGAATAATTTGAAAAAATAAATAAGTAATTGAATGTAAGCACATGCATTGGTGTTGAATGCTGAGACGTGTCAAACGCCTTCAACATGAAGTATCTATACTAGACAATTACATTTTCATGTGACAATGTTGGCGTACATGACAGGTATCAAGCAATTACAACTGCATATTACAGAGGTGCAACTGGTGCATTGCTAGCATATGACATAACCAACCGCCATTCCTTTAACCATATTGAAAAGTGGTTAGATGAACTGCAACATCATGCAGATAAAAACATTGTTGTCATGCTTGTTGGCAACAAATCTGATCTGAGTTCTATTCGAAAAGTGTCTACTGAGGAGGCAGAAGACTTGGCAAAGCAGAAAGGTCTCTTCTTCATCGAGACATCGGCGCTAGACTCAAACAATGTAGAACCAGCTTTCCTTGGTCTTCTTTCACAAATATATACAAAAGTCGGTAAGAAACACATCACTGCAGATGGACATGAACCAAATTGGAATAAAGTAAATCTCGAATTTGAGGGCACAAAATTATTGGTCTCGCCGCAAGAACCAGAATGTCAAAAATCTAAAAGCAAATTCAATTGTTGCAGTATTTTGTAGAATAGGTTTTCACCTTGATCTACCTTTAGGTATTGATTATGTGTACAATATACTCTGCCATCCTTTCTTCCCTACAATTTTTTGATTCATTTTTAAACGAGTTATGTTGTAGTTATGTTGTTCTGCATAATTTTTTTGCCTATGAAGTTACTTTGTTATTTTGATTGGCATTGATATGAAATCAAATACAGTTCAAGAATTAGTTATGAATATAAGCTGCAGGACCCTCTTTGAGGGCTTGCTAAGTGGGCTACCGCACAGAGCTTAAAACTTGAGATGACTATGCTCAATGACTATCGACTCCTACCCGATCTAACAAAACATAATTCTGTAATCTGCTCTATAGCAAGTGAAAGTGCTGGCTTCATCATCATAGGCATAGCTATAAGCCATAGGACGTGAAGCCTTAAACACCTTTGAATAACTACTTGGCCCGCACATTTTTGGACTATTGAAAACACCAGTACAACAAAATTCCTGCTTGTGAAAAGCCATACAAACACTCTTACAACCAACAATGCGGCCTTTGATGTTTCTCATAAGGGACTAGTGCTTCAATGCCATTAGAGGTGGTATTAGTTTGATTTGAGAAATTTAATTTTTGTCGAAGATTATGAAATGCATGAAATGGGTGAGATATTTATAAGGGAAATTAGGAGAGGTTCAACAAACACATTCTTAAAAGAATGTTGAAAAAAAAGAAATTTGTTTGTTAATAGTGACAAGTGTAACCCTTTAAAATTGAAAGAATCAAAACATATTTTATCAATATTTTTCCTATTTATTTAGATGTTAAATTGTCCTGAGTTTTCTCAACTAAAATAAATAAATATAAATAAATAAATAAATAAATAAATATATATATATATATATATATATATATATATATATATATATATATATATATATATATATATATATATATATATATATATATATATATATATATATATATATATATATATATATATATATATATATATATATATATATATATATATATATATATATATAGCGGAAGCAGGAGTATAGAAGATGGTAGAGAGACAATATTAAAACAAACTTTAAACTTGTTATTCAAAAGGTGTGTTTACAAAGTAAACTGAAATCCCTTTATATAGGGAAGAAAAGGCTTAATATTTAAGCAGGATCAGAATAGTTTGACTAAAAAGGAGTATAGAAGATGGTAGAGAGACAATATTAAAACAAACTTTAAACTTGTTATTCAAAAGGTGTGTTTACAAAGTAAACTGAAATCCCTTTATATAGGGAAGAAAAGGCTTAATATTTAAGCCGATAACCACTACTTACAATAGCCGGTAAACTAAAACACAACTTGTATAATTATTGCCGGATACTCTTTGGGTTCCATCGACACAACAATTAACAAGAAACCAAAAAAGTTTAACAAAAGAAAGAAAATGCATGCAATTATGCCTAGAAGTTTTAAAGACAAGATAAGATTCTCTTGTCTTTTACTTTTGTAAAGATATTTCTTTTATTATTTCTTGTCCTCTAGCCTTTGTCTATTGATTCTTATTCCATTGTTTCTAGACAAGATAATAATTTAATTCTTTGTTTTTCCCTTTACTTTCATACATTGAATCATTGCATCCCAAAAATCTTCTGCAGTTGCTTCATGTGCTTGACCTTCTCCTGCTAAACCATCAAAGTTATGGGAATCCATTGATCCCATGAAAGAACTTGTCTTCATAGATGAATCCTCATCTTTTGATGCTTTTGTTGGAAAAGTAGAGAAGAATTGGTTCTTCATATGATCCAAAATTCTAACCATGATTTCATCTTCTGATTCATTGGGATATTTTCTCTGGAAGAAGTTGTTCGTGTTTTCCATAGACATTTGTTGGGAGCTTTGCTCCTTGACCTTATTATTTTGGTCTTCAGCTATACCTTCTTGAATTAATTTTATCTGGACATACTCTGAACTCATCTTGTTCCACCATTTATAAAAGAAATTTCTTCCTAAAATGGGAATGTTGAATTTGTTTTTTGATATGGTGATTGACCATCTCCATATCCATTGAATCTGAAATTTAGTAAAGAATAAGAATGAACATTATCCAGTGATCAAATTATCAGATAAATTTTTTACAATAAGTGGACTAGTATCACACCATAGATTGTATAAGTTAAGAATTTCTATAGGAAGAATCTCCAAAGATGGACCAAATTTAGCCCACCATTCATAAAACCAATTTGGTATGGGTTTATTAACCATCTCTTGATTAATAGAGAAAAACCAAGAATGTTTGTTCTTGGGATTTTGGTAATAAAAATCTTGAGTGAAAGTTTGGACATAGTCCCAATAATTAAAGTAAATATACTTTTCTTCTGCAATTCTTATTGCCTTTTCAGCATTTGGGTTGAGACCCCATTCTTTTGGTAACAAAATTTTGTTAATGTGACATTTACTGAAGTTTATAAAACTTTCAGGATTATTGTTTTGTTAATGGTGAGTAATTGTTACCGATTCGGTAACAGTCAGGAGAATTTCTAGGTTGGACCTAGATTTTCCATGAAGACTTGGATATCCTTTTGATTCGAGGTATCTAGTTTTGATAGACCAACCAGCATTTGGATTTATCTTCATATCTTCATCATCAATATACATGATTTTTTCAATTACTGGATTTTCAAAATAATCCATTTGTTCTTGAGGTGGGATATTAACCGCAACTTCCTTGTAGGATGTAGTTTTATTAGAAGAAGAGGAAGCAATATCTTCCTTTTTTGCTGAAGATGCAGGTAATTGCTGCATTTTTCTATCTTTGTAGACAGTAGTTCAATCCCTTATTAGAGAAATGTTTAATTCTGGATGAGGTAACCTATTGTTACTCCCTCTCCCACCACGGCCATAATCGCGGCCTCTACCCCAATATGGGGTCATCATTTTTTTCCTGCAAAAATTCACGAGTTAAATAATCAGCAAGTGAATTATTTTCACCTTTAATGGGTTGAATATCAAATTCAAACATAGATAATTGCGATTGCCAACTAGCAAAAATTTGCTTAGCAACAAGATTTTTAACATCTTTTTCAATAATTGATTTAGCTGAGCTACAATCAATTTTTAATAAAAAGTTTTTATTAAGAAGATCATCTTGAAATTTTGAAATGCATTTTATAATAGAAAGCATCTCTTTCTTGATAGTTGAATATTTTGGTTGTGTTGGATTCCATTTTCCAGAAGTAAATCTAACCAAAATTTCTTTTGATGTTTCATGTATTATTTGTTTAAGGATTCCTCCATAGCCTATGTCTGAAGCATCAATTTCAACAATTTTGAAATATTTAGGATTAGCAAGAGATAAACAAGGCAAACATTTCACCTTATTTTTAATTCTTTGGACTGCCTGAGAATGTTTTTCAGTCCAAGGGTCAGGATTCTTTTTAAGCCTAGCATGTAATATTGTCGTATCTTTAGCAAGATTTTCATAATAATCTGCTATGTAATTAAGGCTACCCAGAAACCTTTGTAATTGTTTCTTATCTGTAATAATATCAGGGAATTTTGAAGCAAATTCAATACTTCTTTGTATAAGAATTATAGTTCCTTGGTCAATTTCATGTCCTAAAAATCTAACCCTTGTTTGAAAAAGTTTCATCTTAGAACCAGATATTACTAATCCATTATGCTTAATTAATCCTTTGAATATTTTCAAATGTTTAATATGTTGATCTACAGTTTTTGAAAAAACTAAAACATCATCAATATAAACAATTATAAATTCCGTATAAGGATTAAAAATATCATTCATAATATTTTGAAATTCAGAAGGGGCATTTTTAAGACCAGAAGGAAGGACATTCCATTCATAATGTCCAAAAGGTACGGTAAAGGTTGTTTTATACTTATCAGATTCATTAATATGAATTTGCCAATAACTAGATTTCATATCAAATTTAGAGAAGATTAAAGCATTGTTTAATCTATCTAAAAGATCTTTTTTATTAGGAATAGGATATCTAATCCATTTTAACACTTTATTAAGTGGTTTGTAATTAATAACGAGTCTAGGAACTCCACGTTCCTTTTCTGCAGCATTATTGACATAAAAGGCTGTGCAAATCCAATGGGATTTGGATTTTCTTATTAATTTTTTCTCTAAAAGAGATTCTATCTCTTTTTTGCATAAATCCAAATACTCGTGGTTCACTTGAGCATGCCTAGCTTTAGTGAGAATCTGACTTTCATTAAAGTCATCAAGATAAGGTAAGAAAATAACATGTTTCTTTCTATCCCAAAAGGCATTAGGTAAATCATTGCAGATTTCATCTCTAAACTGTTGATCAATTAATTTAATTTGATTTTGAATTTCGGGTTTGTTAAGTTGAGAAGTGATGTTTAATAGATCAACTTCTTCTTTAAAGAAACAAATTTGTTTTTCTTTTTTAAAAAGAATATCTTTAACTTCATTAATCATCCTGGTATGGGGATCAGTAATAAATTCAAAAGTAATTCTTTAATTATTAATAATGGAGGTAATTCTCTTTTGATCAACATTAATTAGAGGCATAATTTTATGCAGAAAGGGAGTTCCTAATATAATTCTATGAGTTAAATTTTTTACAAGAATAAAGTGAATGGGTAAACAAATATCTTTGTTACAAACATAAGCATTAGACAGTTTATAATTAACTGTGAGTTTATCTCCTCCAGCTTGCGTAAGAGATTGAGTAGTTTTATCAAAATATTTAGTGGGAATTATTCCTTCTTGAAGGCAATTTAAATCAACTCCACTATCAATAAGGGCAACTTCATTTTCTAATATGAAATTTCTATTAATAACTAATGTTATTCTAACAAACCATTTTTGAGAAGTTACTCTGACAATGAGAGAAACGAATCTATCACTAGGTGAAGGATTACTAATAGAAGTTATTTCTTCAATTTTTGAATTATTGGACTCTAAGAAAGTGAGCCTTTGAGATAAACCATAATTTTCTTTTTTAATTTGAGCTATCTCATTTATTAAGAG